CTATCTCCTTAAAATTGTTGGATTTGCTTTGAATAATATAGCTTTATGTATTTTAATTTTATTTTTTCAAATAGATTTTTATATTGTTTATTCTCAGACAAATTATCGTCGCTTCTATTTTTTAGATACTTTAAATAGAGTTTTTGTTTTGACAATTTTCTTATTCGATTGGCAAATCGTGAAGTGGTTAGATATTTTACTTTAATTTCTTTTTCTTTTGGAAAATGTTTATTGTAGAGAGTTAAGAAAATGTCTATAAACTTATTATAAGCGGAGTTTATGCGTCCGAGGTTACAATCATGATATACTTTTGACCAGTTTACTACCGCTAGTGAGTCTTTTAGTTTATGGGTCAAAATTTTTCTAGCGCTTTTTTTGATGATTTTTATTTTCAGACTTTTATGGTCGGATATATCCGTTTTAATTATTCCTCCTTTTAAGGATAGATCTTGAATTGAATTTGCCAATATATTTTAATTAAGGTGTAATTGAGGTGGGAATTACCCGGGTAGGTTTGTTTATAATTGGGAAAATGTAATGTTGTATCATATCTTCAAAAATTTTTTTGATATTTGCGTGTTCCTAATATTATAGATAATTTATATTCATGTCGCCAATACAGAATAGCTTTTTATGTTCAACATTACTTTTTATATATATTTACTTCGTAAAATTTAAAAACGTTATAATATCTCCTTCGGGCTGTCTATAACAAGAGGATATTAAGAGGTTTATTGTATTATCACTAATAACTTTAACTGTAAAGACCTCATATTTGAATTAGAAATAAAAAGATTATTTCTGATTATAGATGTAGGTTAATATTCATCTTTCGTTAGCTTTTCTTTCATAAGAAATAAGATTATAGTTAGGGATAAGGAGGTTTGAATTTGTATTAAAATTTTTGTCAGAACACCAAGTTTCTGTAAGACAAATTATGCTGAGGGGCTGTCCATAAATTACATCGACAAAATAAAAGATAAGGGAGGTCTAAAATTTTTTGAAATTTGTTGACAGGGAATAGGCCAAGATAAGTCGACGTCAACAATGTTACTTTTTTAAAAAAATTTAATACTTAAAACAAGGAAAATAAGGTCGCCAATACGACTTTAATTTTTGTTCAAAAATTTCGCATTGTCAGTTTGCGCGTGTTTTCACACTTTTAGTCATAGTAAGTAAAAACTGTATAAAAATAACAAAAATATTTTGATAAGTTAATCAATATCAAAAGTTTTTGTCAGTGTTTCCTAACGGTAGAGATATTTTGCGCTAAACTTGTATATGATGTATAAAAAAACGTGTTGATCTTAGTTTTATAAACATCATCCACTTTTATTTATATCTTGAGATTCTCAGATTGATAACTTAATATCAAAATAATATTTGTAGAAAAATTATTACAAAAAATAAACTTTCCAATTATAATTATACTCCTGAATAAAAATTTATTATCAAAAAAACTAAAAATCTATACGTGAAAAAAATTTTTAAACTTAAAATTTGTTGAAAAACCAGCATTAAACAATCTCCAATAATAATTTAAAGAAATTCTTATTAGAACATGATGCAATGAAAAATATTTTAAATTGGGTTGTAGTTGAAGGTTGTTTTACCTCATTGCAGGAAGGTAAGTCTTTAAGTACAGTCTGCCAATACATAAAAAACAAAAACAAAAACAAAAAATTACTACTGACCTATTAATTTATCATAAATGTTCTATTTTCATTCAATTTGTAAACTCTACTTCATAAATCTACACGCACTGGCTCTACATAAACTAGGCTGTTAAATATAGCTTGTTGAACAGCCAAGCTTCAGATATGTTGTGGGTTAAATAGTTAACCTTAAACTTAACTTAACCTTAAACCATTAGAACTACTATATACATCTATACCTTAATTTATTCAAAATAAATATAAAGCATATCAAAAAAGTTATATTATTGATACTTTTATAACAGTAATATTTATCCAAATTAGTAGAAATAAATTATTTTTATATTTTGAATATGCTATCTTTTTCATGAAGGTTATATGAAAATATTTTGAAGTCTAACAAAATATATTAACTATTATGAATAAAAATATTTTTTCAAATCGAGATATAATCAAAATGCAAAAGCATTATCAGAAATGAAAAAAAAACCATTATCATCACCAAAAAGTTTGTTGCTTCGGCATTCTGTTTGATATTTTCCAGCACAAATTCTTTTAACAAACCCACACAATTGAGCAGCTTTGTAAGCCACATTGCTTGCAGCACCAATTTATATTCACAGCACTTGCTTAGATCATAACTTTTATTAGATAACCTTAACCCAGACATTAAGGTTTATAATAATCTGATACCTTGTATCACCTGATAAAAGGTATATCTGATACCTTGTACAAAATGTTTATCACCTTGGAAAAAAAAACTACAAAATTTTGCTTTCGAATATACAACATATAAATGGATATTAATAAATATAAATGAGAAAAACAGTTTTTTAAGATGTACGCCAATATAAGTATAAAAAATTATAAATAAAAAAATTCTGTTGAAGCTTCAGTTTTTACTAATATAATATGATACTTCAAAAAGTCAGCTTAAATATACTCATTATAATTTCTAAAATACTTTTTTTGTAGCTGTTTATACGTTTATGTTTTGTGTTTATACTTTTTATTCACAGTAGTACCATCCACTTTTACACTTATTTTATAAATTAAAAATTAACATTTAAATAATATAATAATTTATAGCATATATATTTACAAAGTATAGATAAAAATATTTGTTGATAATATTATTTAGGGCATACCATGCAGTGTGCCATACCATGCCATATCTTGCATATAACTAACAAACATTAGGCAAACAAAAACACACGTACAAATCACAAGCTAACTCAATACATTATATAAATTGATATACGTGTTTTAACAATAGCCAGAATGAAGTAGAGGCTTCTTTAGTTATCATCATCTAGTTTTAAAGTTTCTTTTTTACATTTAGATTGTATCTTTTTTTTAAAAAACAAAAAACATTTTCGCTTTCAACAAGACTACAAACAACCACTAGTTAGTGTTGGAAGTTTCTGGAAGAGAGAAGATGAAGATTGTAGAGCAAGATAACGATTGACAGATGACATAAAAGATTGCAAATTATATGAATCTGGAAAGCAAAATGAAGAAAGCGAATTCCAAAGAACTGATGATTGAGGAAAAAAACTAGACGAATAAGAATTTTTGGAGCACTTAGGAATAGTAATAGAAAAAGGATGATACCTAATTGAATGACGAGTAACACGAGAATTAATTTTAATAGATGGCACAAGAAACGCTAGCTTTTTGGAGCAGTGCCCATTATAGTATTTGTAGAAAAGAGAAAGAGAAGCAACATTATGACGATGGGATAGGTTGAAGGTTGGCTGCAAGAGCAGGTCCAACTATGTTTACAATGCGTTTTTGCACCTTCTTTAAAAGAGAAAGAGCATCATTAGAAATCTGCCCCAGATATGGCAACAGTATTCCATACAAAGCCGGATTTGAGATATATAGAGAAAGAGAATAGAATCCAGAGTAAGAAAGTGTCGAGCTCGATAAAAAGATTCAACTTTAGCAGATACTAATTTTGCAACGGATTTGATATATGGTTTCTAAGAAAGATCAGAAGAGTAGATGATAGAAGATGAAGAGTAGATCCTAGAAGATGAAGGGTAGATGAATCATCAAGTACATTACCGATCATAAATATAGGAAGATCTAAATTATTGCGATAACGGTTAGCTGAAAAAAATTGAGTTTTATCTGAATTAAAGTTCACCAGCCACTGTGAGTCTCATGCTGTAGCAGAAGTGAGATCCTTTTCAAGCTCAAATACCCCCTTAAGCAATCTGAAATTTTTGGCTTCTTATGAAGACAAGAATAAATAGTAGTATCATCAGCGAACAAAGCCACCTTAGATGCGAAAATATCTGGAAGAATATTAATGTAAATTAAAAAGAGTCTAGGGCCAAGAATAGAACCTTGAGGAACACCTGATGTTACGGGATATGAAGAAGAGTGCTGTCCATTGAAGACAACTTTTATACTACGATTGGTTAGAAAGGATTCAATAATCTTAAAGATGTTACCAATTACACCGTAAGAAGAAAGCTTATGAAGAAGACCAGCATTTCAAACTTTAATAAATGCTTTAGAAATGTCAAGAGCGATGACCTTAAGCTCTCCACCTTTATCTAATGCACGTGGCCTTAACCTCTCCACCTAATTAAACGATGATCATTTTAGGTTATATTATTACTTGAAAATAATTATTTGCTACAATTTAATACATTGAAAAAAATTTAAAACAATTGTAGTTTTGAACACAATAAATTTTGTATTAAAATTATTTTCACATTGAAAATTTACAATAATAAACAAGCGTAGAGTACTTACATTAATATATACAATAGTTATACTCATGATTAGTCAAACATAACGTATTTCAATTATCATGGACCAAAATTTATTGCTGAATTTCATGTTGCCTTAAATATTAAAAATAAGGTGCAAAATGTAAAAATGAAATATATAAGAATGTGTAAAATGTAAAATATAAAAAATACTGTAATGTGCAATGTTCTAGATATAAAAAATAAAAGTAATGTGTAAAATGGTAAAATAAAATTTAGTTAATGTGTAAAATGTAAGAAATAAAGCATAAGTAATTTAGGGAAAGTGTAAATTATTTAAGATAATTTATTGAAGATATATTATTAAAGATATATAATTTGCCAAATAAATGTGTATATATAAAAAAAAAAAAATTAAGCAAGAAAAATATTTTTTAATGTATTTTAAAAAGTTTTAACAATTATTTATTGTTGAAAAGCGTTATACTCCAAAGTTTAGAGTACAACATTGATTATGATTAAATGGTCTAGACCATTTGATCATTTAAGATATCAGCTGATATCTTTATAGTTCTTTTATAATGTTTTACGCAACTAATTATATGTTGTTTTTTTTTAGAAAAAAAAATGGCGGATAAGAAAGATTTAGTTTGCCAGTTGCAATTTAGAGATTCAGCAAAATATCCCAACAATTTGTTTTTAATTGCTAGTATTGAAGTTAATGTTATTTTGACATTAATATCTAACGCTGCATTAATTTTTGGCCTATATAACACAACAAGAAGCAAGAAGTACACTCGGAATAAAAAACTTGTCATGTTATTATCCGTTACTGATATAATAAATGCTTTGGTAGTTTCAACATCACAAATTGTATTGCTTAAACGTGTCGAGTCTTGCGGTTGTTTAGAGATCTCGATTATAATTTTTTTTCGCTTTTGGTTTCTAGGTGTGACCTGTTCTATTTTTCTTATGATATGTTTGGAAAGATTTATTACAGTTGTATACAACAACAAAATATGTGGAATTTATGTAAAAGATTCGTACTCTGTTGGTTACCTTATATTTGTTGCTTTTGCTACATTGATTGCTGGTATATGTAACGGATTTATCTACGCAACTTTAAACTTATATTTACATTTTTTATTATATATAGGAACTGGTAGTTTAGCGCTTATTTTTCTTATAATGATTGTAGTTACAAACGTTTTAATGCTACACGGAGTTAAAAGTAACTTAAGAAATCGTTCGCTGGAATTTCAAAGAAACGCTGCGATTGAAAACCACCTCACAAAAACTGTAGTAATAACCTCACTCGCTCATGTGTTTTTTTTTTGCCCTTTTATAGCAGCGCAGTTCTATATGTCTTTTATTGTTTCCAAAAATGAAACTTCTCTTATTTCTCCAGCTCATAAGATACTAATGTGGACCGTTGTACTTAGGAAATCAAGCTCATGGTTTAACGCAACTATTTATACTTTAAGAAGCAGAAAAATTTCAAAGTTATACGTTTCTAAAATAAATTCAATATTCAGAAGTTGCAGTGGTAGAAGTAGTTTAACAACAAAGGAAGGGCTAAAAAAAAATACAAACTTTATCCTAAAATTCAATCGAATAAGCAGGTAGTTGCAATTTGAAATATTGTCTGTATCTAATAACTATTGAAAATTTGAAGACTAAAATTTGAAATAGTTAATGTCAAATATTTTTAAAATTTACTGCTCGTTATTAAAAATTTTTAATTATATATTTTTTATAACGAATGCAACTTTTGTTTGCTGAATAACTTAGTTTTTTAAGTTTACCAAGCTCTTACCAAACTTTTACCAAATTATCTTAACAAACATTATTAAAACTTATCACCAAACATAAACAAAATATACAGAAGAGTTTATATATAAAACGGAAATATAATATGGATTTAATAATATGTTAAAAATATTGTACAACGTAAAAAATAGCAAAATTGTAATTAATTGTGCGATTTAAAAAAAACGATTTTAATTATGTATTAAACTAAATTAAGTAATAATAACTTTTTTTAATCAGTATGTTATTGATGTTTTTTATTTATGCCTTGTTTCTAGAGATTTTCACTCAAAGTAATTTTTTTTTCAACCATTTTTGCTGTAATGTTAATATAGAAACCTATCAAACGAATTTTAAACCGCGTCTTTTTTTATTTGCGATCCTTTTTTAGAATTGCAAGTCAAGGTGAGTTCTTAACTTTATCGAACTTGAGTAATATGAAAGTTAAAACATGTTTAATTAAATTTGAAACTTATCATAAGTTCTATTTAAGGCAAAAGAATGTTTTAATTAAGTTTTCTCTAAAAGAGGGTTTCTCAGGTCATCTTTTTTTTTAAGCTCTGACTGTCGTGATTTTTTAAAAAATATTATTAATTTAATGAATGCTTCTATTAAAAAAGTTGCAATTTTTTTTCCATGTTTCACATGAAAAAATTACCGTACCCACTGCATCTACTGATACATAAAAAACTTCTATAAATCTCAAACAAAAAGTTCTGGTAAATACTTCTCAGACGCAAAAGTTCTATGTTTATAAATATATTTAGTGCCCCCAGAATTGTTTATTACGAACATCTTTGAAGCCTAGTTGGAGAGAATATGATACTCACTCCGAAGTCTGGTGATAAAAAACCAATGTTAAAAATTCAAGGTTAATAACAAAAAAATTTTTTTAAAAAAACATATGCAGCATTAAGAAAAAAACAGGTTTAGTTTTATATATGGAATATTATGGAAATATTTTTAGAGATTTTTCTTTCAATATCTTTTATATATATTTTAACAGCTGCATTACTTAAATTATAAGAAAAAAATATACAATTAACATTAATCTAAATAATAAACTAAATCTACATTTTAATATTAAAGTCTACAAAAATAAATAAGTACACAACAATATTAAGATATTTATTTTTATTTAGGTGATTTTGGTTGCATACTATAAATTATAACATGTTGTTAAAAATAGTTTTTTCAGTTTTTAAAAATTAGTTTATTAAAAATAGTTTTAGGAAATAATGTACAAATAGTTGAAATAGTTCAATAAACTGTTTGAAAACTAAACTTTCAACATTTCACTACTTTTTTCAAACATTAAGTTGATGGCTTGATCCGTTGTATTGTCTGCCAACAATTCATTTTCACAATTCATAAAAAATAATGATTCCAAATTCTCCTGTGTTAAACAACTTCTTAAACGTGTTTTTATAATTTTAAGTTTCGAAAATGATCGTTCACACGTGACTTGAGTAAGGGGAATTGTTAAAAGAAACTTGTAAACTTCAAATAATTTATTATATTCTAAAGAATACATATTGAATTCATAAATAACATTTGTTACGCATGATAAACATAAGTAACACTTTTTTTCATGTACACTTATTATCATCATTTACCTGAGAGTATTCAATATCGTCAAAGTCTAAAACTTCTTGCAAATTACTTTGGTTTTGGTATACATCATATATATCTCTATTATCAGGTTTGGATATTTGAGGCCAGAATTTCACAAACGATAATAATTGTTTTCCTAATTTATGTTTATCGATATGAGGTAAAAGTTCACAAATTTTATGAATAGTTTTAGAATGTATTCCATTCTTCGCAATATCTTTAAACCTTTTTGGATCAAATAGTTCAAGGTCACAATAAAGTTCTTAACTGCCCGAAAATCTACATTCTAAGCAAGTGATAATATTATCCATAACTACCTTAAATGTTTTGAAAATTACACTGGATACAAATTCAATGAGTATTTATGCTTCTGTACTAACTGGTAAAAATTCTCTTTGGTTTTCTTTTAAAGATTTTATTGTTAATCAATTTTTCTTCGTGCTTAAATATATTCAAGATCGGGTGTTTGTAGATAATCAGATAGAGCAGTAGTAAACTTAAGTATTTGCAATACTGTTTCATAACGGGTAAGTTGGCCTAGTAAGTTTTGATCTGTACTTCTTATGCTGTTTGGAAAATCATTAGTAACAGAAATTTTATAAAGTGCAAATACAATTTGTACATATATAAATTGCTTTCAATCATCATTCTTGGCTCTTTCATTCCACATATCGATACGACCAAATATCTTAATAACCGCTTCATTTTTAGACCGGGATTATTCTGATTTTCTTAAACATTCAGTGTTTTATAATATTCTTAAAAAAATAATAATAATTCTTGAAGAAGAAAAAGAAATAAATGTAACTGAACAAGAAGTAGTTTGTTGTAAGACTACATTTAACACATGAGTGTAGCAGCATGTATGAATATGCCTCTGGAGCACTTCCTTGAGCTTTGCTTGAACTCCTTTATATTGACCATTTTTATTGGCAGCACCATCAAATGCATCTGCTGCACAATTATTTTAGCCAATGTTCATAGAATTTAAAGTTAATCTTATTAAAACAAATAAATCCTGCCAAGAAGATGAAGTCACGTTGTTTAAAGCTACAACTCCTTCCACAACTTCACCTATAGACCTGGTGCCTTCAGTTCTGTCACTAACAAAACAAATACACATTGATCATGGTTAGATATATCCATAGTTGTATCCATAGTAATTGAGTAAACACCAGCTGAATTTACTTTTTCAGATATTTATCATAATAATAATTTACAAATAGTCTGAATAATGTTTGTTACAGTTGTAGGGCTTAAAAAAGTAAATAAACTTCCTTTACCCTTTTTCCCACTTTTTGCTCGTTTTTCACTTTCTACTATTGCCTTAATAATGTGATCATTTAAATCAATATAAGACTTTGCTATTAACAAAATAGGTTTCCATGGTTAACAGCTGCATTACTAAAATTATAAGCTGCCTTATACCTAAATTCTCTGAACGGCAATCCTTATTTTCCAATTACTTTAACTATTTAAATTATAGATTCAGTTACTTTTCTTCTCTTGGTTACTTCATGTTTTCTTTGACTCTTCTGGACTCTGTTAAATAATTCATAAACACTTTCTCCCCGACTATTACTCATATAACATTTTAATGCTTCTTTGTGGTTTTTAACTTTTCGTGATCTTTTATGCGTTGATAAACTTGGACCCAGTCTTCAAAACGCTCAACACTTGTAAAAACCGACTTTTTAGAAGATTAAACCAAACACATTAAACAAAGAAAAAGAATTGTGCTCGTAACTAAAACTTAACGAATTTCTTTAAATTTTTTTCTGCGACAATGAAGTTGTACATAATATGCTTTGGAATTTGAGTGCCATAATTTTTTTTCTGATGGAGTGGATGAAATGAAAAAACCATAGAACATTTTTTTTTTCACTATGTTTTATAAAATAGTTCAAATTAATTTTATTGACAATATTTATGTGTGGCAGATCAGAATGTTACTCTATAATATCTGGAAGATCGTTAAAGAAAAAAAGAAAGCTAATGGAGAAGACATTTATGGCAGATTTCACTAAAATAGAATTCAAATACTTTTGGTAACATTCCTAGCTCAGTTCTATACATAAAAACTAGTTTTTTATAAGCATTTAAAGCTCCAAGTAAACACAATAAAGGCTCACAGGGTTCTGCTCTATTTCCTCCAAATATAATTCAACATGCATTTTTTTGTTTACAATAAAACTTTTTTAATTTTGTCTGATTGGTACTTACCCATGCGATATTACAGTATGTTAGGTAACTTTGGATAAAAGCAAAGTATAAACCTTATAGCGATTTAAAATTAAGATATGGTTTAGCTCTATAAATCATTTCTTTTTTTTCAAAACTGTTTATATGAAAATTCCATCTTAAATTTTCGTCCAATTCAACGCCTAAAAGGTTTATTGATGATTCTCTTTTAATTATAGTTTTAATTATAATAAGGTTTGGTAAATTTAATGCGACGTTATCAGTTTTATTCAATTTTTGGAACAAAATAAATTGAGATTTATCAGCATTCAGATAAAGTTTGTTCCTTACAAACCACTCATTAATTTTGACTAAATGTTCATTAACATGCTTAAAAAGTATTTCAATATTTTTGTGTAAATAAAAGAGATTATAGTCATCTGCAAATAAAATAAAATTTATTAGATTTGACGATAAACAAAGATCATTTATGTACAGTAGAAACAACAATGGCCCTAGAATAGAGCCCTGTGGAAACTCACAAGCTATTGAGTGTTTAACAGTTTCTTTTGAATCGTAGCGTATGAATTGTTTTCTGTTTGTTAAATAGTCTTTAAACCAAAGTAAATTTTTATTTCTGATGTCATAGTATTCAAGTTTACTTAGTAGTATATCATGGTTTACTATATCAAAGGCTTTGAACAGATCAATGAAAACTCCTAATGTAAAATAACTGTTGTTTAGAGCGTCCGATATCTTGTTTACAAGCTCGACTACTGCGTGGTCGGTTGAATATATAAAGCTGCCATAACAAGTTTTTATCTAAAATTACTCCTAGAAAATTAAATGTTGATGATTGCTTTACTGATTAGAATGGTGGGTAATTTAAGGGAACACTTTAATTTTAGAGAACCTTTACTTGGTTTGTAAAATAAAATGAATTTAGTTTTTTCTATATTTAGATAGAAACGTTTACTTGCTACGCTTCCGATATTTTTATTTTTTTTATTTATGTCCCCCAAGAAGTCCTTACGTGTTATCAAAGAGTACCGCGGATGAGCATTAATTAGGAAGTTTACGCCTCCTTCCTAACCGATGTCGCAAAACTTGCCCAGAGGTAGGGTTTAAACCACGGATCCTATTTTTTTGAGGCAAGTGTGCTATCACTGCGCGATGGCTGCTTAATGCCTCGGCGTAAATATTTCAATGCTATGGCAAGAAGTCTGGAATCACTTAAAACTCAAAAAAACTGTTTTTTCATTATTTAACTAAAATTTATTTAATACAACTCCGAGGTTTAAAC